CCTAAAGTTTTGCATTCACAACGGCCATAAAGTGCATGGACGGCTTCTAGGGCAGAGGCAGAGAGCAGTATCACGAGGCACAGTTACAGAAGTATGACCATCCTGTGAGTGAACATGGTGGAATGTCCTGAGTCACGAGCTTGGCTTGACTCATGTATTTCCCCATGCTGCCACCAGCACTCTCCCCCTTTCATCTGATGCGGTAAAAAGGTCACAGAATCACAGAACAGACGAGGTTGGAAGTGACCTTGGGAGGACATCTGGTTCGTCCCACCTGCTCATACAAGGTCATCTAGAGCTGGCTGCCCAGGTCATCTTTATGCTCCTAAGGAGCAGTAGTACGGTAAGGAGAAAGCGTCAAAGCTCCACGTGCCCGTATTTGTTACCCAACACCTTCACCTCAAGACACTTAATCAGGAATGCTAAACCCATCTTTTCCAAATACTGTTTCAAGGCAAATTATCTGCACAGCTGGGAGACGAAGCAGCTTATTACACTGTCTTCCCCTTTCCCTCAGAAATAATATTTTCAGGCTGTGCCCGCATGTACCATTCCACCCAGGCCCCATCGTACACAGCAACATCTGGTTTGCCACAGAGGTATGCCCCCAGAGCCACGTGGCAGGCAGTGACCCCAGAGCCACATGTGGCTACCACCGGCTTTAAGAGGTCCACCTTCTTCTCCTGGAACAGACTGCGGATCTGCTCAGGGGTCTTCTCTAAGCCAGACTCTGTGAGGAAATCGGTGAAGGGGATGTTCATCGACCCAGGGACATGACCAGGCTCAATTCCTGGAGGAAAAGCAATACAGATAGGAATTAACCTCTGCTGTCTGAAACAAATCCATTGCAAAACCCATTCTTTGTTTCACTGGGAGAAATATTTATTGTTCAGTGTACTTTGTTAAAACAAATACATTTATTTTTGTTAAACTTTGCTTTACTAGATTACTGATTACTCAGGAAGGATGGCTCTAATCTTCAGGTTACCACATGGACACAATCTTGTCAAGTTCTGTTCTTCCTCCCAGTTCCCTCCACATCTTCCCTGCATCAGAGCAACCCACTCTGATGAGGCATTGACTGAAGCACCTCCATAGGCCCTTCTGAGGGGAAGAGTAGCACCAGTACACAAAGAGACCAATGAATATCTTTGAGGTGTATGAAAGCTATGTTCCTCACCCCAGCCCCTCATGAGAAAAAAAAATACATGGCTTACCCACTCCTGAATTTTCAAAGAGCAGCACTTGCTAGTCAAAAGGAGAGGACAGGTGCATACGCTACTTCAAGTCCCTTCCCATAAAGGACAACCATATTTCCCTTCATTACCTCTACAGGAGTCAAACTGATGGGCATCTTAAATGAAGCCCTTTTTATTATGCCAGTGTCTCAGGAGGCACATTACCATCTCGGGGCTCTGGCTCTACTCCCCGGAACCGTCCTGCAGCGCGCGCATCCACTAGTTGGAAGCGGTGGGAATCCAAGTTATCTAAGACATCCTCATACGTTTTCACCAGGGACTTGTCCAAGGAGGCGTGGAACTCGGAGGGAGCTACCTGGCTCTTCCCAGAGCTCAGCGCATTCCCTTCTCGCTGCCAGTTCTTCAGGCCGCCATCCAGAAGGGAGACAGCTTCATGTCCGAAGGCCCGGAACATCCACCACACCCGGGGTGCTGAGAAGAGACCTTGGTCGCTGCCATCATACACCACAACGTGGGAATCATTCCCCACACCCAGCTTCCCCACATACTCAGCAAAGTCATCAGCCTTGGGCAGCATGTGATCGTAAGGTGAAGTACGATCGCTGCACTGGTCAATGTCGAAGAAAACTGCACCAGGGATATGGCGCTCCTCAAATTCCCGCTTTGGATCACGCTTCATCTTCGGCAAGTACCAGGACGCATCCACGATTCTCAAGGCCAGACCAGCTTGCTGGGACTTGATGGCTTCTGAAAGCCATTTTGCAGACACCAGAGCACGGTAGAGGAGTTGTTGCGACATTGCGCCTGAGTCCTGGCCAAGATTACCTGGTTCCTGGGGTCTGCCTGAATCCACCTGACTGCAAAAGGAAGAAAGTCACAAATGAGAGACCAGCCTTACAAAAAGCGACTGGACAAAGATGCATTTGGGGACCAAAGACCTGTGTCTGCACTGAGGTGCTGGCTAAGCCTACAGTGAGAGGTTTGAAATGCTCCAGCCCTGAAAATAAAGAGTTTCACAGAGCTTAGCCCAAACCCTGCCCCGAGCAGGACAGCCGTGGCCCAGTCCTGCCTTGGGCCCAGCCCCCTGTAGCCCACCTGGCCCCTCCACCTCCAGCGACCACCAGCCAGCACTGATGGCAGCAAGAGGGGGAGCAGGGCAGCCTCAGGGACCCTGACCGGAGGGGACCGAGCGCCCGCGGTGAGGCACGGCCCCACGACGAGGAGGACTCTGCCCCACCGCTCTCGCCGCCCCGGAGCCCATCTCGTCCCGGCCTCGGCTCTCCGAGATGGCGCAGAAGGTGCTCGGCAGGGCGCTGGTCACCGCCAAATGGCTCTCCGAGGCCGTGCGGGCCGGGCGGGTGGGGACGAGCCTGCGGGTACTGGATGCCTCCTGGTACCCGCCACAGGAGCGGGACGCTCGGCAGGGGGTCCAGGGGAGGCACAACCCCCGGGCGGGTGGGGACGAGCCTGCGGGTACTGGATGCCTCCTGGTACCCGCCACAGGAGCGGAACGCTCGGCAGGGGGTCCAGGAGAGGGACAACCCCCGG